GAGTGAATGGAGACGAATGGTATTTGGGATCTGATGATCTGTTGGAGTGTGAGCAGGGTAATATTTAGTGAAGGGATTCAGGGAAACCGGTTATTTTTATATAGCCGGACTTGAGTCCTGGAAATGAGAAGTGCAATGCCTGCACTCTAAAGGAGGGGTTCAGGATATTGGCAGTTTAGAGGCATATGTTGTGTATCTTTATACGTATATGCTTCTAAGCTGTTGTGTTCTGAGCACCCAAAAACAGTGATTATGTGTGAGTGAGGTGAGAGAGTTGAATGATGAAAGTATTTTCTTTTTGGGGATTTTCTTTCTTTTTGGGTTACCCTGCCTCGGTGGGAGACGGCCGACTTGTTAAAAAAAAAATATATATGTATATGTTTATGTTTAACTCTTTTGGGGTGGGTCCCATTGTACTATGACTTTGAAGTGCGGGTCAGTCCTGTAGCACTACGCCATGAGCTCAACTCACTCAGATAAGCTGCGAGCGGTAAATTTGGTCCTAGATATGAGTGAATAGGTTGTTGCGGTAAGTGTGCACCATATAAAAAAGAATCCTGCAGCAAGCAGTGCATAATGGGAAAACTACAATCGTGTTTATTGGTTTAAAACAGCAACTTTGAGGTGTATTTTCGTATGCTTTTATGGTTGTACGTATTCAGTTTCTTGGTCTCATTTGATAGAATGGAAGATATTTTACAGAAATAGAGATAATTTTGATTGGTTTCAGGACTGAAAATAGCTTGAAATTGAGTTCAAAGTAACAGAAATGTTAGATTTTTAAAGCCAGTATTCCAGAGTAAACAAATCGCATTTCTCATCCAATAGGCATCTAACTATTAGGTCTAATATGTGTTCATGAATGCGCTGACATTATTTATACAATTACAGTATACAGTAGTCTGTATAACAGTATGCCTTCTATTTTTTGTGTGAATAAAGATTCAAAATGGAAAGCAAGCCTAATATAAAAGTCCTTGGGGACATAACTAATGAACAGAGGAAATTTTTTTTTTAGTTTCAGGATTGTCTACATTGCTTATTCTGAACCCTGTTTTTAAATTGGTAATTTTTTAATTTTGTATTAAATTGAGCAAATTGCTGATTTCTGATCACATTGGTTAGCTGAAATAGGTAAATGGGTAGTTTCTTGTACTCAATTGATACAATTGAAGGAATACTATTGAAATAGCTATGGTCGACCGGGACAATGGAATTGGTCGGAAGTAGGGCTCAAAATGGGCGAAATTGCCGGTGCATAAATATTGCAAAAGCATAATTCCGTAAGTTTTCATCAAATTTCATGCTTTTGGTTTCATTACCTTCAGAAAAAGATTATCATTCATAAGAAAAATAATTTTTCACTTTTTAAATTCTTTGACCCTGAGAGCAATTTTCAAATCAGGGGTTCCAACCCTGAAAGGGTTAATAAGATTGTCTTTAGAGTTACCCATTACCATATATTAAAAATTTCCTGCACGTGTACTAAATACAGTATATTAATTTATTTTATATTACACAAAAGATTAATACCAGAATTGTTCTAACATCATTAATTGATGTTGGCAGAACTGTTGTGTATACAAAAAACAGAATTATCTGTGCTTGAGGAGGTGCGGTCGTTGACCATGGGAGGACAGGCAAATCAAATCTTGTGCAAGATTACTCAAGCTAACAGAAGACAGGTATGTTATAACCAGATTTTACTGTACTACCTTATTTTTTCCTAAGTTTAGTCATACAGGTTAAGTAATTAATTAATTATTTAATCATTCATGTTAGGTAAATAATTATAAATTTCAATTGTTCATGTTAAGTAAATAAATAAATGAATACATACATGTATGGTATTTTCATCACCATCCTAGTTATTGTGACTATTTTCTAAACCTTGATATTGACCATTTAGTTTTATTCTGTTGAGCACAATGGCCATTTCCTGCTTATACCAATTTATTTTCATCATCCATTAATCAAAGAGAGACTCGCATAACATGTATACACACAATACAGTTTTTGAAGACACTTTCATCATTTCAAACTGCATTGTACAAGTGGTGAATAAACCATTAAGTCACTGAGTATGTTTTAACCATGATGAATAATATTCCAGGTTGAAGTGGAAAAGGAGATTGCTACTGCAGTTTCTAGTGTAAGTCATCTGGAGCAGCTCGAAAATCAGCTGAACACCAGAATAAAATCTTTGAGTCAGAAAGCAACAACCTCCATTCCTAAACTGAAGTAAGCAACCAAAATTAGTTGTTAGTATGAACTATTTATATGCAGTATATATTGCATTAATATGAAGTAGTACTGTACTGTATTAATTTTTATGTACAGTAATAGAATGTAATAAAAAGTTTCTTGGCTATAGAGGCCTCTAGAACCTAACTTTATTTTTCCCATATGTTCTTCATTGTGCATAATGATATTATTCTTTAAGTGTTAGTTTTCAGGAACATATTCTGCTCATTGTGAGAAGGTTATTGTGTATATCAGTAAGAACTTTTCTCTTTTTTTCTTCAATCTGACGTAAAATATTCTTGCAGTTTAAAAATGACAAATAACGACAAGCTGCTGCTGCTGCTTGTTTTTTTTTAACCTTTGTTCACAAAGTTCACAGTGTTGACATGACACCAATTAGTGGTTTCCGTTAGGTAAACCAGTAGTTCATAACACATTTATTTCTCATATTCTGAAAAATGCAGGGTTGTACTGGATACCTACGTCAACTGCATTATATCTTAAATGTCACTCATGTATATTTTATTTGAATTTTAAATCTCTCCAAGTGATTATTTTTTTAATTGCAGAGCTGATATCAGTGCATTCATGCAAATCTCTCACTTGAAGTGGGATTATGGTGCTCCTGAGAATGTCGTCAAAGGCTGTATCCTTTTATAAAACTTTCACAAAATGTTCATTACCTTTAAGAATCACTCTATACATACTTAAAAGTTACTTTTATTAAAGGTGATGGAACGTGCACACATAATAGCATAGGGAAAATACCAATTAATTTTTTCATTTTTTACCTTTTCAGATAAGAGGTATCTAATTTGTATCATTTGGACATGCAGTATTATAGAATAAATAATCTTGTATTAATACAGAAAACTTAGAATTTCAAAGAATATAATTTGAGTATATTTTCCTTAACTAAATATCAGTTATTTACCAGCTGGAGAAGAAAGACATTGTCTCATTCAAGTTTGACAAGTCTGTACAATCTCAGTTCTTCATCACAAACTTTTTATGGGACCAAATAGGAGCAGATAATGATTTCTTTTAATGAAACATTTTAGCATTTGAATTCAAACAGATGAACTTACAAACATGAATACTTCTTTATTCTGGTATTACATACTTTATTTTTTACAATACCATATATATTTACTATATTATTATTATAATCATAACTAAGAACTAGACTCATAAGGGTCATACGGTGCCGCACATTTACTACAAAATATATCTTATTATACGATTGTTTCTAGTAAATTTGTGAACTAAGTACTGTAATGTGTGGACTCTTCAGATTAATCCATTTACGTAATTAGAAATATGAACTGTGTATACAGCAAGGTAATTAATAGTCTCAATCATTAAAGTCTTCTAATCTAACTTGGGCTTAATCCTTCTACTATGTATGCTCATTGTGCTGATACCTGTTTGTCTTACAGTTTTTGCATTGTCAGCAAAATTTATTTTTTAACTTAAGTCTCCAAGATAGTGTAATTTACAGCTCTGTAAATATTAACTTTAGATATTAATTTTTGTAACATACTGGCCGTCTCCCACCTAGGCAAGGTGACTCAAAAAAGAAGAAATTAAAGTTTTTCTTTATATATGTAGTAACTTGTACAGGAGAACAGGTTACTTACTCCTGGCATTTTAGTCGCATCTTATGACATGACTTACAGAGGAAGGATTCTTCTCCACTGTCCCATCGAGCATCTTCAGATATGTTTAAAAGAATTGTTCAGATATTTTATATCTTATTGGGCAGTGAGATCTTTCAACCTTGCAGATCTTTTCTGTATCCTGGAATTTTACTATGGCAGGGAATTGCATCTTGAGATCTTAAGGTTTTAGAGTTGCCATATAGACGTAACAATTTTGAGTACAGATTTAACTAATGATTGACTTGTTTTTCTTAATTATGCTCATTTTTAATGCTTTACCATGAGAGCACCTTTATTGAAGGGTTGACATGTCAAATCTTAAGACATTAAAATTGTTTTAATTACAGCCTTTCCTCACTTAACAATGGAGTTCTGTTCCTAAGACCACGTTGGTAAACAAATTCGTCACTAAATGAGGAGCATACTACAATGGTAGTGGTTTTGTGTCAACTATCTTTGATATTGTTGTAATGTCACCTTTGCACCATTTATAACATTTCTGGTATGCTTTTAAAACGTTTATACAGTAGTGTACTGTATATTGTAATAAACAGAATAGAGGAAATCAGCTCTAATATATATTATTTAGGTATGCATACGGGCCAGAGAGCCCATTGTAAGTCCAAGGCGTTGGTAAACAAGTACATCACTAAGTGAGGAGAGGCTGTATTGTTATAACATTCATAGAAAACTAAAACTGAAGGGTCATTAAATGCCTAGAATAGCAGATTCAGTGTAAGGAAGAGCAGGTTCCTTGAAGGATGTTCCTCCATCTCATATTTGGTTGTCACTCTATGTGGATGACTTCGCTATAGCTCACACAGGCGCTGACTGTTTCCTGGTAGCGGCCTCCCTTCAGGATGCGATTGACTGTTTCTCATTGGGCCACTCCTCATGGATTTAAATTTTCTTGTGCAAAAACCCATTTCATTACCTTCACTACACATCATCTTGTCCCAGATATTTCATTGTAATTACACAGCTCACGTATCCTAGTGTGTTATATAGTAAAGTTCCTTGGCTTCATATCCTATCACTGGTAGACATGGAAACCTCGTATTTCTTCTTTGAAGGTAGCTTGCCATGGTTGGCTGAATCTCCTTAAAATTCTTGAGCATCGTTCATGGGGAGCAGATTGCTGAACTTTCCTCCATTTGCATTCCACCCTAGTCTTGTCCAAGCTGGATTATGGTGACAAAGTCTATTCTGTGGCTTCTCCTACACCTCTTTCTAAGTTAGATCCCCTTCATCACCAGGGCCTACGTTTATGCCTTGGTGCCTTTCGTTCATCCCCTGTTCAAAGCCTCTATGCTGAGGCAAATGTTCCTTCCTTAGAAGATCGTCGTGATGCTCATTGCCTTCATTACTTTGTTCTCTCTCATGACCTTCGTGTTCCTTCTACGTATAGGTTGGTCTCAGACGTTAGTAGAAGTCCGTTACTTGTTCAGCACCCCTGCTTACTCCGACCGTTTTCTCTTCGTCTTCACTTACTCCGGTCTTCTCTCCAGTTGCCTCCCTTGTACGTTCATGTAGTGTTTGCCTTTTCCCTTCCCCATTGGGAGGTTCCGACAATTCGTGTCTGTTCTTCCCTACTGCCATGCACCAAAGCTTTCCTACCTACGGCTGCTTCTCGCTCTATTTTTCTTGATCACTCCCAGTTGCATGTGTATGCCATTGCTGTTTATACAGATGGTTCTGTATCTTCTGACAGTGGTTTTGGGTTCGCATCTGTGTTCCCTGACTATGTTGTCCGCCAAATTGTATGCCATCCTCATAGCACTTCTCTGTATTACATATATCTCCTTCGACGTTTGTGATCATATCAGATTCCCTCAGCACTTACAGCCATTAAACAATTTGATTCCCCTCATCCGTGGTCCTTCGTATTCAATTTGGGGTTCCTGGTGGGTACAAAAAAAAAGACTTGTTTTCTGTTGGGGTCCCGGACACTTTGATGTTCGGGCAGTGAACAAGCGGATTCTACTGCGCGATCGGGGGTATGTGACCGGGTTTCCTTTAATATTCCTTTCGGGGATTATTTTACAGTTATCCTCCTGCTTTTGCGCCTTTTGGCAACAATGGGGTTTGGGGACATCACCATAAAAAATTTTGCACCTTATTAAACCACTTTTATTTTTGGGGCCACTTCTTACCACGTTCCCTTTCCCCCGGGAGACTGCAGTCTCCCATCCCCGCATTGGCCTCCCCCTTTAAACCCCAGGGGAATCTTGTGGAACGACGCCCTATTCTTCTCATGAGGTTTTCTGGTCCCTATTTCGTTCTTTATTTCTTGTGGAGTGTCCAGTTTCCAGTGAGCTCAGGGGATTTACTTCTAAGGGCGATGCCTTAACGCTCTTACTTTTTTTTTTCCTTCTTGCACACCCGTTTCGCTTACGACACTTTTTGTCAGCAACTGCTTTTTATACAAATTTGATGCATACCCCCTGCATCCCTTCCACCCCTTTTCTCCCCCCTCTGCTCCCCTCTTCACTTAGCTTTTTATACTCCGGCACTATTTTCTGCCCGCAGTGTTGTATGGCCCTTGTCAGTGTAGCGGTTTATTTTTTTTTTTTTTAACAGTGGGGGGGCCTTTTCCCCCCCCACCGAAGCGGGGAAAACCCAAAAAGAAAAAAATCCCAAAAAGAAAAACTTCCTCTTTCAACACTTTCACCTCATCACACATAATCACTTTTTTTTCAGAGGTGCTCAAAATACAACTTTAGACATATAAGTATAAAGATAAAAAATACCCCTCTAAAATGCCAATATCCCCAAACCCCCCCTTTTAAAAGGCGGGGTAAGTGCAGAGTAATATTTATTTTAAGGATTCAGGGAACCTAGTGTAGGTTGGTAGAAGAAACCGCCCAGGGGGTACTACCGCCTCCAAAGGAGTGTTAAACAAAAACCAAATCTTTTTTACATGAGGGAGGATTGCTGGTGCCCTTTTTTCTGTCTCAAAAACATGCAAGATTTAGGTACGTCTTGTCTTCTACTTACACTTAGGTACACACACATAATTAAAGCATATACACCTCCACCAACTTACGGGAAGTTTTGGGTTCCGAGAAACTGGTCGTAAGTCGAAAAAGGCTGAAAATCGAAAAAAAAAAAAAACTACTGAAATATCAACAAAACTTTTTGGTAATGACTTTTTTTTAGTTTTATTTTTTGGGATTTCATGTTTTACTTTCTTTTTTGCTGTTAGTACTGTATTTTATATGTAAGGTTTAGGAAAAAAGTGGTACAACACAAAAATTTTTTATTTCCCAGAAATTTTGGGATAAAAAACATGGTCTAATCGGTGGTCGAAGTCGAGCAGGTGTAAGCGGATGGTTTGGGGTATAAACACACCCCTTTGAGTTTTTTTTCTATTTTTTTTCTAGTTCTTGTTTATTTCCTTTACCGCCATGGGAAGTGGAACAGAATTCTTCCTCCGTAAGTCAGCGTGTCGTAAGAGGCGACTAAAATCCCGGGGAGCAAAGGGCTAGTAACCCCTTCTCCTGTATATATTACAAATTAAAAGAGAAACTTTCGTTTTCCTTTTGGGCCACCCCCCCTCAGTGGGAAAACAGCCGGTGTATTGAAAGAAGATTCGGGAAAAAACCGGGTTATTATAGTTTTAAGCCAGACTTGAATCCTAGAAATGGGAAGTACAATGCCTGCACTTTAAAGGAGGGGTCGGGGTTTATGACAGTTTGGAGGACTTCTAAACTGTCGTATGAGCACCTCTACAAAGACACTGATTATGTATGAGTGAAGTGAAAGTGTTGACTGATGATGAAAGTAATTTTTTTTTTGGGGATTTTTTCTTTTTGGGTCACCCTGCCTTTGGTAGGAGACTGCCGACTTGTTAAAAAAAAATATCCTTGAAGGATGATTTTTGTTTTAAACTTACACATAGACAAGGTGACCTTCCAGGTCAGACATTCCTATAAGACTTGTCTCAATCTAGCTCTTGCTGTTCATTTATTACTTTCAAGGAAAGTGCAAAATTTGGGTGTGGACCACATGTCTAGGGCCCTCATAAGTTTTCCTCAAATCCCTTTATACACCAGCTTTCATCCTCTTAAAAAAGTGGGTTCCTTTGTATGATGAGGGGAGGGAAGAAGAGGAATTATGTAAATTACATTTGAGCATCAATTGTCTCCCAGGCATAGTGTACCTAGAATTTTTCTTTGGTTTTAAATGGGAAAATTTGGATAACTAAGAAGGTACTGTATTAAATCTGTAGTAGAAGGAAGAGGGGTTTTGGGGTCATGCCAGGAAGGGTTGAGAGAGGGGACATACATTTTGAGTACCTAGGGCTTGAACATCCAACAGGGTTGTGTGAGCATGTTAGAGTGGAGGCGGAGAAAGATTTTTTATGACTAACGTTCTATTAGAGTATAACACGGTAATATATATGAAAGGGATTCAGCAAAACTGGTTAGCTGGACTCGACTCCTTGAGGTGGTAAGTACAGCAGCTGAGGGGAGGAGTAAGGATGTTTTCAGCTCTGAGAACTATGAGCTGTGATGTTTATGACCTGTAGCTGAGATGGCAAAATGCAATTATTATTATTTTTATTAATAAAACTGTTTCCCATTCTTAGCTTATATGCAGAATGACATTCAAGAATCTGACAAGTTTAACCTCAGTAAATGTAGTAATAAACAAGAATGGCATAGGTGATTATTTTCTTTTTCTTTTTTAACATGCCAGCCATATCCCACTGAGGCAGGGTGACCCGAAAAATAAGACCCCTTCAACACCATTCACTATCACGGTCTTGCCAGAGGTATGATAATGCTATAGTCTCCAAAAAAGTGCTCAGCTTGTGTCGAATGTGAAATAGACTAAATAATGAGCTTGTTAAAAAAAAGATTATGGTGTGACAGCTACTATTCAACTCCAGCAATTGCTTAGTTATTTTAAGTTTCATGACGGAGTGGCATCACAGAAAAACTACTAATCGCCAATTTCTGAAAATAGGTTGTTGTACAAGTTAAAACTGTATAATCCTACGGGTTTAGGGGCTTCCCCCTTGATTATAATAATAATGTACAAGTTAAAGGAGAAGAGAGGTAGAGAAACTTAAAATAGTTTTATGAGGAAATATGATGTTACTGATGGTTGTAGCCCTTGTGGGTTAGCGCCCTTTTTTTTGATTATTAAAAATAATAATTTCTGTATGTTATACTGCCCCCTCTATCAACGAGCACGCAGAATTTCCTCCAACGTCGTCCCGCTCTCCTACTCTCTCTTTACCTTCCCTTCTTGCTGAGGGGTCCCCCTTTAATCCTGACCCCTTTTCATTGATTCTTGACAACGACTGATTTTTCTCCACAAACTCTGATGATGATACCTTTTGCACTCCCTCAGCCCTTTCTACATCAATCTCTTGCTGCCCCCTCCCCCTTTTACCATCTGCTGTTCTCCGTAACCTATTACTCATCCATCTCCTTTTTGCCACCTGATACCCTCGCTTCCTTCCTGCCCTGCAGCGCTGTATAGCCCTTTGTGGTTTAGCGCTTCTTTTTGATTATAAAAATTAAAAATACAAAGTTGTACTGGAATGCATCTAATTTGTGCAACTGAAGAGTTTTGTATTGTACTATGGTCACATTATGAATGGATGAATATTATTATTATTATAATCAAAAAAGGAAGGAATGGATGAATAGTGTCAGCATAAAAATAAGTGTGCTAAGGTAGAGGGTAGCCAGTCCTGGAGTGAAAAAACCACAGAATGCATGTGCTAAAACAAGATTTAATGAATAAGACTTAAGTTTGTAAAGAGGAAATGAATAATAATAATTGTACATTACTTCTTATATTAGGTGTAAGAAAAATATTGGTGCTGAATGACACACCTAAGACTTAACTTTCTTGTAAAAAAAAATATAATAGTGTTAAACCAGAAGGGGTCATACAGTGTAAGTATGACCTATTTTGCAGCTGCATAAATTTTGCATTCAGTACCAGTTTCTAGCAATAGTACTATTAAGAAAAAAATTAAGCCTTTTATGTTAATATTTCTTTTCTGGCAGATGTTTCTCACCTTAAGTTTGGGCAATATAATTACATAGGACAATGAAATCAAATATACTTGAACATAGTTATAATTGTTAATGCCTATCCCCAGAGTAACCTTGCAAACATGCACAATGTTTCATATGCTCTGGAAATTACTATAATCAGTAACAGATGGATTATATTGTAGTTCAAAAAAGTATTTGAGAAATTTAATAAATTATATTTTCTTGATTTTGTTGTTGTTCACTTTTTATACATACATTGAGAGCAGAGATAATGAGCATTATTCAGTAATGGCCATCACAGATTATCAACACAAGGTCATTTATATTTCTGTGGCTTCATCTTTGATTCTGAAATTATGACATTATATTACATTAAGTAGACAAAAATTATGGACCATCCAAAACTCCATGTCAAATTATTATGGCTCACCATGCAGCGCTGCATGACCCTGATGGGTTTAGCGCTTAGTTTTGATTATAATAATAATATAGCTCACCATGAAGAAAAAATTTAAGTATTTTCTTATATTCCTTTCATTCGAAGATTAAATATGAAAATACGTAGGATGACATAATACTGTTAAGTGATGCTGCTACATTAAGTTGCATCAGATTTGTAGATACAACAGGATATAAATTTCAAGTATTTGTAGTTGATCAGAAAAAAATTCCAGTACTATAGAGGAAAGTTAATGTTGCATCTGTGGAAATACCTTTAATATTCATGATGTGCCTCTGACCTCAACCTGAGGGATAACAATTTGTCTAATGAACTCCACTAATAAATCCTATGCAAGAATCACAGTCATGTATAAGCATGCCACAGTTATTAACATCACCAGTAAAAGATGAGAATGCTTTAGAAACGGGGAGCTCCCCATTCACTCTGTAGTTTGATTAGTAAAGTAAAAAAAAAAAAAAAAAACAATTCAATGTAGTTGTAACCTAAAATATATTTCAAATGTCAGAGCAGCACAGAGCACATATTAAAAAAAATTATTCTAGGTAACCGAGTGTAACAAATATTACCAAAAGGAAACTAGCGCAACATTTTTACTAATTCCATAAATAATTGGGCACTCAGCAGCTGGTGAACATTATGAGGTTACATTTACCTTTATGATTTAAGTCTACAATTCTGGCCATTTAGCAGACATACCTATCAATACATAGGCTATATATTGAAGCTTGATATTTACAATCCCTTTAGATTATGAAAAAAAAATTACATGCTCAAATACTGATAGTTGTCAGAATGACCACTTCAATGCATGAATGACATTAATAAATTATACTGTTACCTAGGACTTGGGAAAAAAAAAATCACTTATTATAAGATATTAATCTTTAAGCTTAGTAATATCAAAGAACTGTTTTTGACTACTTGACCTAATACAATAAGACATCTCAAAGACACTAATGCCAGATACTATTAGCTCTGCCCATAATTTTTGCAGAAGTATACTGATGTTCAAGTATCTGGTTATTACAATGCTAGTAAGTTTACAACTTAATATAGTTATCACTTAGTTGTGTCTATAGGTTAGGACCCCATTTAAAACCTGAGACTGAAAACAAACTTAGTCAACCAATAACAAACGCCTCATTTAACGATAAGACGAGTTTTAAGTACTGGTGTAAATTTTATGTAATTTTCAAATAATCTGTAGAATGGTTATCATGATTTACCCTAAGATTAGTCAGCATGTTTTTAGACACTGGAACCTAACACAGGCCAAGATTGCTGTCACAGGAGAAAAAAATTATATAAAAAAGGATGCTTCAGGACGAATCACTTAACCAGGGGCCGTCTTTTACCTTCCTCTTCACATGACTGTTCCTTATATTTTCTAACTTCACTCATGTATTGTGACCATGCATCTGTTTTCCCATCATCAGGCTGCTGCTAAAAATAAAATATATGAATTATGGTAAGACATTTCTGAAGTACAATTTATATTATTCTTACACCGAATAAACTGCATATTACTAAGACTTGAAGCTGCTACTGATGAATTTGCTTCTTGTATTTCTTTTTACTACACTTGAATTTCTGCAAATGAGAGAACTTATACCAGGTAATACAACTGTACACAGCAGGGTGTGGCAGTGCCCAGCACACTTAAGTTTTAACAGGGTTTAATTCCATTAGGAAAATTAGGGAGGTATCAATCATAGGCCCACCTCAATTTAAGAAAATTTTATTTTCAAATGAATATGCCTGACTAAACACCCTTAGCACTGCAAAACCAATTTATAAAAATAAATATGTATATATGTATGCATGCATATTTGTATGTGTGTGTACTCACCTGTATATGGATGCAGGGGTCAATTCATAGCTCCTGGCCTGTGTGAGGGTGTGTGACAGTGAAAGGGAGCGAGTGAGGGTGCAAGAGTGAGAGGGTGCAAGAACGTAAGTGTTTGTGCATGCTTGCCTATTTGTAGTTGCAGGAGTCAATTTTTAAAGCCTGGCCTTGTCACTCTTCAAATTCACTCCCTCTTAGCCTGTGGGTTCTATTGTACGTACCTGCTTTTAAAACTATGTATGAAGAATGCCACTACCATTTCCTCACCAAAATCATTCCACTTCCAGACCACAATGAGACTGAAGAAATACTTCCTAACATCCCTGTGGCTCATGTGTGCCTTTAACTTCATCTCAAACAGCCTTTCTGTCTACCTTATCAATTCCCATGAATAATTTGTATGTCATTATATCCTCCCATGTCATTAGGTTCAATTCTGTTAGCCTCTGCCCTTAGCTCTGAAACAAGCTTTGTTGCAGACTTCTGAACTTTAACATGCTTTTGCAGGTGCAGGTTCTATACTGGTGCTGCATATACCAAGCAATATACTAAGTATTATGGACACCCCTAGATCTTTTTCTCTGAATGAAGTCTGCAGCCTCTGTGTTCCTAGTCTATACCTCATTCCCAGTCTTCTTGCCCTTTCCCCAATCGTCATGACCTTACAGTTACTGGGATTGAATTCAAGCAACCACTTATCTAACCACTCTTGCACTTTGTCCAGGTCCCTTTTAGTTTTACATCATCAGCAAACAGGAATATATCTGAAACGACTTCATCTGGAATGTCAATCACAAACCAAAAACAGTACTGGCCCTAATACCAATCCTTACGGAACCCTACTAGTTACTTTTCCCCATTCTGACATCTCTTTCCTGAGTCACTCTTTGCCTCCTTTCCCTAAAATACTCTTGAGCCACCAGAGCACATTCCCTGTTATTCCTGCCTTTAGTAAAGTTTTGACCCAGCCTCCTGTTTGACCCTTGTGTGTTTAGCACTTAGTATGATTATTATAATTACATAACTGGACCAGCCTCTCGTAATGTACAGAATCAAATGCCCTCTTGCAGTCTTAAAAAAAAAAAAAAAAAAAAAAGGCAATCCACCCAACCCCTCTCTCCTGTTACAAGTATGTTATTTTGTCATAAAACAAAAGGTTAGTAAGACACAAGTTGCCATCCCTAGACCCATGCTGATTATTGTTTCTGAAAGCACTCCACCCCCCACCCCCAACAGTTTCTCCATTACCTTACAAGGTATGTATGTATGTATGTATGTATGCATGCATGTATGTATGTATGTTAGAGATACTGGTCTGTAGTTCAGCACCTCTTTTCTTAAATACAGGACTGCATTTGCCATCTTCCAGAACTCGGGTAACTGTCCTTTATCCACTAACTTACTGTAGATTATAGCTTGTGGTTTAGACAATGCTCCTGCACCTTTTCACAGAATCCATGGTGAAGAGCACGTATGTATGTACAGTATGTGTGCATGCACATACACACACACATACACGTGTGTGAATTTGTTCTTAAATTATCTAAGGTATTTAGAATTACAAGGTCCCTTTAAAAAGCCCAAGAGCTGTTTAAAAAACTTCTCACATTTACTTCCAGCTACTTTTATTTGGTATGGTTTAAACTCAATTATTTTTTTTTTTTTCAAAATTATGAAATTTGGCCAGGTATCTTAAGTGTGCTAAGGACTAATACTAATGTACCGTATCTTAAATTCTTCACAAAATATTAATATTAAACCATTCCTTATGTAAATTATTATTATTATAATAAAAAAGAAGCACTAAGCCACAAGGGCTATACAGCGCTACAGGGCAGGAAGGAAGCGAGGGTATCAGGTGGCAAAAGGGAGATGGATGAGTAATAGGTTACGGATAACAGCGGGGCAGTGGATGGTGAAAGGGTAAAGGGCAGCAAGAGACTGAGCTAGAAAGGGCTGAGGGGAGTGCGAAAGATATCATCATCAGAGTTTGTGGAGTAAATCAGTCGTTGTCAAGAAGTCAATGAGAGAGTCAGGATTAAAGGAGGGTCCATCAGCAAGAAGGGAAGGTAAAGAGAGAGTAGTAGAACAAAGACGACGTTGGAGGTAAATTCTGCGTGCTCGTTGATAGAGAGGGCAGTCTAACAGAATGTGGCTAAGCGATACTGGAACTTGACACTGCTCACAGAGAGGAACAGGGTGCCTCTCCATGAGATACCCATGAGTAAGACGAGTGTGGCCAATGCGAAGGCGGGAGAGAGTGGTCTCCCAACCTCGGCACTGATGACAAGAAGACGGCCAGTAACCTATGCTCGGTTCAATAGAGTGAAGTTTGTTACCAAGCAGAGTTGACCAACGTTGTTGCCAACGGGTGTGAAGGTGGGTAGCTATTACAGCAAAATAGTCCAGAAATGGAACACCTCTATAGGAAATTGGTAGGTCATGTACTGCTGACCGCGCAGTAGTGTCTGCCTGTTCATTGCCCTGTACGTCGACATGACCAGGGACCCAACAAAAAACAATATCTTTATGCTTGGTAGAGATACGGCATAGCCAAAGGTGGATACGGAGAACTAGGGGGTGAGATGTATCAAATTTTCGTATAGCCTGTAGAGCAATAAGGGAGTCTGAGACTACCACAAATGATGACACAGGCATAGATGCGATACGAATAAGTGCTGCAAGAATGGCATACAATTCAGCAGTAAAAATGCTAGCCGAAGATAGTAAATGCCCCTGCACGACGCTGTCCAGAAACACTGCTGCGAATCCGACGCCGTCAGAAGACTTAGAGCCATCTGTTACACAGTGATGGCATGAGAATGAGAGTGGAAGTGATCAAGAAAAAGAGAGCAGGAAGCCACCATAGGCAGTTGAGCTTTCAAGCAAGGGAGTGAGAAAGAACAGACCCGAACAGCTGGAACTTCCCAGGGGGGGTAGGGAAAAGTGAGATGCTACATGAACATATAAAGGTGGTAACTGTCATTGCCACATGACTGGAAATTCTGTTGGACTATGGTATGGGGCAGAATGATAGTACCACTACAAGAATTGAGAGAAAGGTGTTTTTCAATAGTGATAGGAGTAGTATCGATATGCGAAAGGAGAGAAAGATCATGAGCTTGGGTAGCATTCTGGACAGTGACGATGCACGTACTGCTCTTGAGAGCATGAAATGAAATATCTCTACCAACATGACGCAGGAGCGCTTTGCCAATACTATGGTCAGAAAGATAGGCAGAAGAAGAAGTCGGTCTTAAAGTAAAGAATTTAGTCCATTGTGGTCCGAAACTGAGCGTGGAGAGGGAGTGCATGACGTGTCGGTCTTTTCCGAGTAGAATGGGAAGGTAACGAAGGAACTCATCAGGAGATTGACGTTGGCGTTTAGGAGTAGGGCCGGAGTTGGTCCGTCGTGAAATGGGCTGGCGATTCAAAAATTGCCGTACCGTAGAGGGAGAGGCCGGAAGCATAGTCAAAGGAGAGCGGAGGTTAGACAAATCAAAGGAGTCAGCCGAAGCCCCGGTACCTGAAGCTGGTGAGGAAACAGCACCAGCAAGAGGTACAGGGGCATCAGGAGTGTCCGAAGAGTGGTCTAAAAACAAGGCAGGGTCAGAATGGGGTGCGGTATCAAGAAGGGGCCCGGGGGTAGTGGGTTCATGGATTGGATTCTCCATGGTTAGGTTACTCCTTTGCTTTTTGTTTTTAAGAAAAGAAAATAAAAGAATAAAAAAAGGGGGGGAGCGGGGAGGAATAGTTCCCAGGAGGAATGAAAGGGCGGGAAATCTCCCTCCGCTCCCAAGAGGACCTCAGCACCGCTAGTAGCGCAGATACAGCATGGAACCCGTGCCATACCCTACCCTTCATGCCAGTAAACCAGCAATCCGGGATAGCAACCTCACATCTGCCGAGCTACCTCGGTGGACAAAAGAGAGGGTGGCCGGATATCCGCCACAAAGCATACCTCTTTCGGCCACCACCCCCGGAATCTGAAAGGTGGCTTCCAGAGATACACCAGTCGCCCGAAAGACACCCAAAGCTACACTCCGGGATACCAGAGAGGGATCGGGACATCCCCAGGCGATCCAGATTCCACGGCAAACTACGCCACTGCCAAGAACCTCAACGGAATGGGATGGACCCCGGTATCCTTTCCCCTACCTAGGAACTAGCGTGCCTGTGGGAGAAATCCCAAAGGCCAAAAAGAGGAAGGGTAAAAGGGAGGGGAGGGAGGAGGAGGGGGAGGAGGAAAGGGAAAAGAGAAAAGGGGAGGATGGGATAGGGAAGGGGGGATTGGGGGGTAATTAGGTTCGGTCTGAGGAAGGAGACCGACAGGTCTAATTCCTCAGACCAAGAGCCTCTTCACCACAACAAGGAGCCCCCCTTGAAGAGGTCCTTATGTAAATAAGATTTAATATTATGTACTTTTGAGCTTAAGTGGATTTTTTACATTTCCTGGTTAGATAATAGAGACAGATTTGATATGTAACATTTTTTTATTACTAATACTGAAGAGGGAGATTTAAGATTTGTTTTTTATTACTAATACAGGTCGACCATCACTAATCCGGCATATAGACGTTCTTTACTTCTTGTTCAC